TTCTGCACACCAGAGTACAATGATCATCTGGTTTTCTGAAGGAAAAGGTCCAGTAAGTATATCCTGGGACTGTGTTCCAGAGATAGAACTGCAAGAAGATCTTGAACTTTATTGTTTATTGTTCATCATTCATTGGTGTTGTAAGTTTGAAACTGTTTCGTGTGTATTGTAGATAGAGCAAATGAGTAAGTATATTATTAAAGATACTGGAAATTGGGGTTCTCACTGTGGGGGAAGGGAGATGTGAATGTGGAATTGGGGGAGGTGAGGAAGAAGCCTGTCATGTTGGATTTGAAATAAAGGTATCACTGTGTAGTTGTGATTTAAGATATTTAAAGTATCTTTGCTTTGTTCAGAGAGCCTAGAATCAACAATAGTCCACTAGCAAGGAGCACACCTTGTTCCTGGGTCTAGGTTTCTAAATCCCATTTTCTGAAGAAAGGTACCAGGGCTCCTTGGAGAAATGGCTGATTTGACATCTGGGACAGGTCAGAGTACAAGGTGAGCTTGACATGGTTATGTCAGAAACAAGGAGGTGCTAAAAGACTGTTAGGGTCAGGTCAAGAGGACACAGAAACTGGCTAAAAGGGGTTCCCACTGGCCACATTTAGGATGATTTGAGCATCTGAAAGAATGATGACAGTAATGAGTTATAACACATTGAATAAAAAAAGAATCCATGAATTCATACTGGAAAGAGAGTAGGAGGAGGGGAGAAACAGGGAGGGGGGACGAGAGAGCTCTTTACAGAAGAATTTTAGCTAATATATGTACCAAAACTAAAAACTAAACCTGTTGCTGTCGAGTCGATTCTGACTCATAGTGACTCTATAGGACAGAGTAGGACTGCCCCATGGGGTTTCCAAGGAGAGGCTAGTGGATTCCAACTGCTGACCACTGGACCACCAGGGCCCCAATATATGTAGCAGGGATAAAATTTAAAAATCACTGTTTTGCAACCCCTAGTATAATAATTGACTCAGGTAAGGCTTATCAGTGGATGCTGAACATACGTACTGTGGAGGAGGATATTCACAGAATCTCAAATATCACCCTTAACCAGTACCATTTGCTGTTGAGTTGGCTCCAACTCTTGGCAACCCCGTGTGTGTCAGAGTAGAACTGTGCTCCGTGGGATTTTCAGTGACTGATTTTTCAGAAATAGATTGCTAGACCTTTTTTCTGAGGCACCTCTGGGTGGACTCAAACCTCTAACCTTTTAGTTAGCAGCCTATCACATTAACCGTTTACACCACCAGGGACTCCAGTATCACCCTACATATTACTTATTAATTAGAAAGGGGAAAATGTACCATTGCAAAGGAGAAATCTGGCAGATTCCACCTTAACTAGTTAGATGAAGCTGCATCACCACTAAAAAAGAGAGAGAAGCAGACATTATGTGCTTCCCGAAGGAAGAACACAGCAGTGCCTTTGAGATAATATTGCCAAAACGAAACAAACCTGTACCTGATGGAGCCTCTAGACAAACACCAAGTTATAGGAAATCCAAAGGAGAGAGGAGTGTGCTAAACAACATCTTAGAGCTGTAATGAAAAAACTCCAGACTCTGGGAAACTGGACTCCGTTTCTTCAAAACCAAGTTGCAAGAAAAAAATAAGAGATGGAGAGATGCAGAGACTTGAGAGGCGTATTGACCAATGTGTGAAGCTTGTTTGCCTCATGATATACATAAACTGTAGATTTAAAAAATTGAGGCATTATGCTGAGTGAAGTAAGTCGTTCACAAAAGGACAAATATTGTATGAACACACTTATATGAGATATCTGTGTTGTTGTTCTTAGGTGCCTTCGAATTGGTTCCGACTCAAAGTGACCCTGTGTATACAACAGAATGAAACAGTGCCTGGTCCTGCGCCATCCTCACAATTATTGTCATGCTGGAGACCATGGTTGGAGCCACTCTATCAATCCATTTCATTGAGGGTCGTCTTCTTTTTCGCTGACCCTCTACCTTACCAAGCATGATGTCCTTCTCCAGGGACAGGTCCCTCCTGATAACATGTCCAAAGTATATGAGACACAGTGTTGTCATCCTTGCTTCTAAGGAACATTCTGGCTATGCTTCTTCCAAGATGGACTTGTTCATTCTCCTGGCAGTCCATGGTGTATTCAGTATTCTTTGCCAGCACCATAATTCAAAGGCGTCAGTTCTTCTTCGGTTTTCCTTATTCATTGTCCAGCTTTAGCATGCATATTAGGTGATTGAAAATACCATGGCTTGGGTCAGGTGCACCTTAGTCCTCAAAATGACATCTTTGCTTTTGAACACTTTAAAGAGGTCTTTTGCAGCAGGTTTGCCCAATGCAATACATTATTTGATTTCTTTTTTTTTTTTAATTTTGGCTTTAACAAATTTATTTTCTTACAGTTTAGTAGGAGGCTAGAAGTCCAAATTCAGGGTGCTGGCTCTAGGGTAAGGCTTTCTTTCTCCGCCAGCTCTGGAGGAAGGTCCTTGTCTCTTCTGAGGTTCTGCTTCTGGGCAGTCTTCATGTGGCTTGGCATCTCTCTTCTCCTATCTCTACTTTTCGAATTCTTGTTTAATCTCTTTTGTATCTCAAGAGATGACTCAAGATACACCATGCACTAATCCTGCCTCATTAACATAACAAAGACAGCTGATTCCCAAATAGGATTATAACCATGGACATTTGTTGTTGTTGGGTGATGTTGATTTCTTGATTGCTGCTTCCATGGGCTGTGATTATGGATCCAAGTAAAGTGAAATCCTTGACAACTTCAGTCTTTTCTCTATTTATCATAATGTTGCTTATTGGTCCAGTTGTGAGGGACCAATACTGAGGGCTGTAGTCTTTCATTTTCACCAGTAAGTGCTTCAAGTCCTCTTCACTTTCAGTAAGCAAGGTTGTGTTATCTGCGTATCACAAGTTTTTAATGAGTCTTCCTCCAATCCTGATGCCGCATTCTTCATAGGAAATGTCTAGAATAGGCAAATGTGTAGAGACCGAAGTTTATTGGTAGTTATGAGGGCGATGGAAAAAGGGGGAGTCATTGTTTAGGAAGCATTTATGGTGATAGAAAATTTGGCAATGGATTATGGGTGATGGTTGCACAGCATGACGAATGTAGTAGGTGTCACTGAATTGCACATGTGAAAATGTTGATTTGGCGAACAGGTTATATATATTTTTTACCACATAAAAAAAAGAATTAAAAGATAGACACTAGAATTGAGAACAAAGACTGTACAAGTGATGATGGTACAGGGTGAAATAATACGATGTCTACAACTGCTTTAAAATAATTTGGAAGGAGGGCAGTTGGGTAGAAATACCTATGATTAGCCATAGGCAGATAATTGCTGAAGCTGGGAGTCAACATGTGGGTTCATTATACTATTCTGTGTACTTTTGAACATGTTTGAAATTTTCTATAGTAAAAAATATTTTTTTAAACACTACCAGTAGTGGGATAACCCGGCATTTTGTGCCTTCTGAGGCAGTATGTTGAGAAGTACATGTCAGCTCTGAAGACTTGTCACCAAAAACATTTGACCTGAGTCTAATCATGAGGAAACAATCAGATAAACCCAGAATTTTATACAACTCTTGTCTTGGATTTTCCAAAAAAGTTATGAAAAACAACAAAAAGCAATGTCATAAACAGCCAAATACAATGTATAAATTTTGCTTGTGTGGATCAGAGAGAGGAGTTAGAACACATTTTAGGGACAGTTGCAGCAATTTAAATATGAATTTATACTAGATGATATTGAATTAATGTTAATTATTTTAGGTATGATTATGGAGCCTTGGTGGTGCAGTTTCAATCCACCAGCTGCTCCTTTTAAACCCTATGGGGCAGTTCTACTCTGTCCTGTAGGGTCACTGTGAGTCAGAATCGACTTGATGGCAACGGGGGTTTTTTTTTTTTTTAATGGTTTTGTGGTTCTGTAGGAAAACGTCATTATTCTTGAGAAATGCATGCTGAGTATTTTAGGGTGAATTAGTATGATGACTGAAAAGTACTTTAAACAGTGTGTGGGTATACATGGGTTAGGTTGGATCATATTAAATTGCTTTTTTCTAGGTCAAAAACAGTTAACTATAATAAGCAAATGCCTGTGATTCAACTGAATATTTGTTGAGAAAGAAAAGGAGAAGAAGAAGAGAGAAAGCAATCATGGTAACCAGTGGTGATTTGAGTTGTAGAATATACAGGTGTTTGTACTGTTCTTTCAACTTCCTGTGTGTTTGAACTTTTTCAAAATTCAAATAGGGGAAAAATTGGTAGCCAACAAACAAAAAGGAACTCTCAGCAGATACGTATTTGTTAGGTTAAATGTGCTGACAACATTCTCCCTGAGAATAATTACTCATAATAGCATTGAAGTTCCCTTAGAATTAACTCCCATACTACTTAAATTGATTTAGATCGTAGAAAAGAAGGAAAGCTGCTTGCATTATTGTGTAGAACATTCATACTTCTGATATTGTTGTATAAAACATTCATACCTCTGAATCAGTGTATAACAAAGATCAGAAAAATAAAGAACTATAGGTGCAAACTGTTTAAGAAAGGAGGAGCTTAATAATATCTCATGGAAACTTTTTTACATGACATTTAAAGACAAATCCAGTAATTAGTGTAAAAAAGGAGAAAAAAAGAGATCATTGTTTTCTCAGAAACTGATGCGTATCTTTTCTTACTTTTTGTCAAGAGATCAAACATGGCTTCTATCTAGGTGTGGTCTCGACATTCTCTGTAAAATAGGACATATTTCTGGAATTTGAAAAAGTCTTATTTTCCACCTCCCCCGCTACTTTTTTTGCCACGAGGTGTCAGCTGGAGCACATTTTGCTCGGGGTTACTGGGGTCGTCTGGGCAACTGTGGATCTGTACACCATAGCAGGATTGGTAAAGTTATGAAATCGTAATTGTTATTCCCCTTTAGAAAAATTTCCTGTGATTATAATAGCCCCTGATGTTACACTTCTTCTCTTTTGAATCCAAAACAGATACCTAAAGAAGTGGCTGACATTTTTAACGCCCCCAGTGACGATGAAGATTTCGTCGGCTTCCGAGATGATGTTCCCATGGAAACCCTGTCATCAGAAGAGAGCTGTGATAGTTTTGACTCACTGGAGTCAGGGAAAAAGGTATGATGCTTCCTCAGGCAGGTGTGTTCATCCGGAGGCCTGGATCTTGATTTGTATGTTCTCTTATTTGAGCATGTCTGACATGGGTGATACTGCTTGACGGCTGAGCGTTTTATAAAGTGTTGCACCTTTATGTTTTAAGAAACTAGGGAGGGTACCTAATCCTAATTTACTTTTGCTGCTTTAATCCTTTTTTATGTACAATAAACTTTTTTTTTTTTTTTTTTAATAAAAGACCCTCACATGATCAAATCTATTTTCTTTGCTACCTCAGGGCTGTAACCTGTGGTGAGGTTGTATTCAGAATCCTCCTACATGGCTGGCAGGGGAGGGCTAGTCCTGTGTAGCGATAGCCCACACCGTGGAGTGTGGCAAGGCAGGGCAGGATGTGTGGTTACTATGAGACAATCGCGTCTCTGTGGTACTGGAGTGTGATTCTGTCGGCACCTTGCTCTCAGGATTGCTGGGGAGAGCATTATTCTTTCTTTAATGACTTTGATCTGTAGCAAACATAAGTTGCTATTCTCTGAGAGTTAGATTCCTGGAGGTTTATATTATGCCTTAGCAATAGCTTGGCCAATCAAAATATGTAGCCTTCAGTGGCATTTTCTTCTGAGTTCATTGTGTCACTCAAAATTCCTCAATCTCCCTCGAACACAGCCTCATTTAAAAGGCTGTAAACTAAACCCACCTTACTTCAACTGGGAGCCCTCGTAGCACAGTGGTTAAAGCGCTCAGCTGCTAACCTAAAGGTCAGTGTTTCGAACGCAGAAGCTGCTCTGCGGGAGAAAGATGTGGCAGTCTGCTTCTGTAAAGATTTTATAGCCTTGGAAACCCTATGGGGCAGTTCTCCTCTGTCCTATAGGGTCGCTATGAGTCAGAATCAGCGTCAGTGGGTTTGGTTTTGGTTGGCTTCAACCAGGCAAGTACAGTAAGGGAAGCTGTTCATTATATGTAAGTAAAGTGCTTACTTGGAGTTCTGGGTGGTACAAATGATTAAGTGCTCGACTACTAACTGAAAGGTTGGTGGTTCGAACCCACCCAGAAGCACCTCGGAAGAAAGGCCTGGCGATCTACTTCTGAAAGATCACAGCCTTGAAAACCCTAAGAAACAGTTCTACTCTGCACAAGTGTAGTTGCCATGGGTTGGAATTGACTCTGTAGAAACTGGTTTTATTTTTAAAGTGCCTGCTTGATTACTTGGAAGACTGTATGTTCTGCTCTTCGTTGGAGCTGCTCTTTGGTTGCCAGGAGCCTTCCCAATCCCTGCAGCCCTCATCTTCTTGGATGTCTCCATAGCTTTGACCCCACCAGCCCCTCCACTCACTCTGCTTTGTCTCTTCCTCTCTGTTACGCCTTTTGCTCTTGGTTGGCATCTCTTCCTTTTCCTGTCCCCAAATGTGCATGTTCTCCAGGATCTTGTCTTCAGACCTTTTTTCTCTTTCACGAGCTCATTGATTATCCTGGCTTCAACGATTACCTCCACGTTCTTTGTGTGTAGCTTGGCTTCTCTCCCAAGCCTCAGATCTATTTCTGACTTGTCTTTGTTGTTCATGGAAGATCAGAACCTCTCATTTTCCCTCACACACTGGGTCATCTCTCTGGCTTCCCTTCTCCACCTCTGTCTTTGGTCTTTCTTGACCTCTCCTCCTCTTCTCCCATCTTCCTGACCCCTGTTCAGGAGTTGATTGAACTGTGTTCCTCAGTCCACCTTTCCTTCCCCTTCCCTCTTCAGTTACCATAGTCTTCATTACCCACTACCTGAATGCTCATCCCTTCCTTCTGGGATCCATCCTAGAACATAGCTCTGGTCACCTTCCCGCCTTATTCAGAAGTTGTTAGAGTCTCTCCATTTCAGCATGGCCAGGCAGTGGGGGAGAATGGAGCCCCAGACCCACCCTGAGGGGCTTTCTGAGGCGTGTAGGACACGTGTCAAGTGCTGAGCACAGAGCCTGGCACGGTGAAGCCATTAAAAACAAAGCAGCTGCTTTTGCTCTGTGATGACTACCTTTTCTACTACATGTCGAGCTGACCTTCACAGACCCGCTAGTCTAACCCCAGCCTGCCTTTCACGGCTGGGACAGTGTGCCAAGAGCTTTTTGTACAGATTGCCCTTCATCCTGATACCTCCCTGGGAAGGTGCAGGTGCTATTGTTACCCACATTGTGGAGGTGATGAAACTGACATGATGCTCAGGGAGGAGAAATGCCTTGAAACTGACATGACGCTCAGGGAGGAGAAATGCCTTGAAACTGACATGACGCTCAGGGAGGAGAAATGCCTTGAAACTGACATGACGCTCAGGGAGGAGAAATGCCTTGAAACTGACATGACGCTCAGGGAGGAGAAATGCCTTGAAACTGACATGACGCTCAGGGAGGAGAAATGCCTTGAAACTGACATGACGCTCAGGGAGGAGAAATGCCTTGCCCAAGGCTCACACCTGGGAAGCAGCTGAGCCGGGATGTTCCAAATTCAGGGCACATTTAGCCACCGTCTTTCACTTCTTGGAGTCCCTGGGCGGTACAGGTGGTTAGTACACTCACTACTAACTGAAAAGTTGGAGGTTCAAGTCCACCCAGAGGCACCTCAGAAGAAAGGCCTGGTAATCTACTTTTGAAAACTCAGCCACTGAAAACCCTGTGGAGCACAGTTCTACTCTGACATGCATGGGGTCGTTATCAGTCGGAGTCAACTCTCTGGCAGCTGGTTTTCTCACCTCGTACCTCCTGCGGCTGTTTCCTACCCGCTGTGCTGCAGCAGACCGGGAACTGTGTTTATTCCCTCACCGTACACAGTTTGGCCCTTTGGTTTACGCTGTTCATCCAGCCTCCATGCTCTCTCACCAGTTTTTCCATCCAGGTCCAGTTCAAGTACTGCTTTTTCCATGAAATTTATTAGGTTTTCCTTCTGTCTGCGGCCATATTTGTCACACCTCCCTTATAGCATTGACCTTCATTGTGGTAGTTTGTGGACCTGTAGAGCTTCCTACTAGATTGTAAGCTTCCGGGAGGAAGGAACCTCATACTTGAGTGGTGTTTTCTAGCATTGCTGGCTCTGACGTTTTATCCTTGTGTTGTTCCTTTCCTCTTGTTTCAAGCATCAGCACCCCCACCCCTGGCTTTTTACAGAATGAGAACCAGTGCGTGTATGATAGATGGACGTGAAATGGGTGTTGATCTGACCTTCTGGTTTAGCAGGCCATTGCTGTCCACTTTGTTAATTCATGTCACATGAGCTTTGAAATAAAAACGTCACCTCCTCCGTTAGCTCTTCTTCTGATCCCGTTTGCTTACAGTCTTGATCACAGTAGGCGCCTGAGGAGCACACCATGTTGCCTAGCATTGATTTTGTTTTGTTGTTGATTTGTGACTTAGGAGACCTCATGTGTTACAGAGTAGAACTGCTCTGTAGGATTTTCTTGGCTGTCATCTTTATAGGAGCAGATCACCAGGCCTGTTTCTTCCACGGTGCCACTGGGTGGGTTCGAACCACCAACCTTTTGGTTAATAGCTGAGCGCAAACTGTTTGCACCACCCCAGGGAACTTAGTATTGATTTTGAAGGCTAACAAACAGGCCTCGTAGAGCAGGGAGCTGTGCGAAGGTTGAACCAAGAATATGGGGAGATGCATGGAGTGGAGATTTGTTTTGTTTCATGCAGTCGTACATAAAAAGCACTTTTTACATCTTTGGAATAAGGAAAATATGAGCACAGGCCTCATTTAAGGACTGTGGTTATGTTATTTTTCTGTCAGAATTGGCCACCAGAGATACTGATTTCTTCTGTCAAACCATTGCCCTGTCAGACTAGTGCAAAGGGTTGAAAGAGGGGCAGGAGGATTGGAAGTTTGGAACTTTCTGCTCCAAACCTTGGCCTGTTGCCTTCGGGCCCCAGGCTCGGGGCTCTGTCAGCAGATGTTTCCTGCACACGGAGGCAGCAGGCTCCTGGTGGTTTTCCTCAGGAGCCAGCAGTGTATGGCTCTTCCGCCATAGTAAATCCTGTCCCTTGCTTCCCCACCCTGTCCACACACACTCATGATCCATCTTTATCAGCCTAGAGAAGCTGTGTGAATCGGCCTCAAGATGTGACTGCTGACTTTGGTCTCCTGTAAACACAATCCAAATTACACTTTAAAGAAACTTACTTCTCTTTGGTGTGTGTTTTGTTTTTGTCTTTTTTTTTCCCTCCAAACATCTGCACCACAGTGATCAACAAAGGAACGAAGTAATGTAGCCCCAAGCAAACTTACTCCAATTACCCATAATAATTCATAGGAGACATTTTTAAGCTTAAAAAAAATGCTGGATGTAGGCATTTCTTTCTCTGTCCCCTCGTAAGTTTTCCTACTCGTCTATTATATCTATTTTTCTCCAGAGATTATCTGAGCTCAAGGAAGTATATAATTAAAATCAGGGAAAGGCAGGGGGAGATAAAGATTCTCAACCAAATGTGGTGTTGCTATGAGGGGTCATTGCTATATCTGGTGTGCCAAACAAAAAAAACCCACTGCCGTCGATTCTGATCGTTGCAACCCCACAGGGTTTCCAAGGCTGTAAATCTTTACGGAAGCACACTGCCACATCTTTCTCTTGTGAAGCTGCTGGTGGTTTCGAACTGCTGATCTTTTGGTTAGCAGTCGAGCACTTTAACCACTGTGCTACCAGGACTCCATGTATCTGTCGTGGGAGGATGGAAATGGGACATAGACATCAGTCCTCCCGAAGTATTGCTGGCTTGGAAAAGGCAGATTTGTGGGTGTCACTCCTGTTCTGCTGGTCTCTCTTTCCTCTCTCCTTTCTTTAAAGCATGCTATTGAGAGAGCCAGCTTTCTTTCTTTTGGTCTCTGGATGGTGCAAACGGTTAAGTACTGGGTTGTTAACAGAAAGGTTGGTGGTTTAAACCTACCTGGAGGCACCTTGGAAGAAAGGCCTGGCGATCTGCTTCCCAAAGGTCACAGCCTTGAAAACCCTGTGGAGCGCAGTTCTACCCTGGCACACTTGAGGTTGCTGTGAGTTGGAATTGACTTGATGGCAACTGGTTAGTGTTTCAAAAAGGAAAAAAGAAAGCCATTACTGGAAAATGCCTTTTTTCTTTAAGTTAGTCACATGACATCTTCCCTTCTGCTCACTTGCTACCTATCTGTGGAGGCTCCAGTGGCTGCTCCCTTTGCACCTTCTGCGGGAGAGGAACTTGTGGGGGTCGGGGAGGGTTTGAGCCTGCCATCCATCCCCTATGCACATCTGTGATCATACAACTCCAGTTCCTTCAACACTGGGTCATGAGGGGTGTGAAAATCCCCAGCCATCTTCTGCAGGGAAGCTTGCTGTTTTGAAAGTTCCTCTGTCTTATGGGAGTTGGAGGGGCATTCTCACCCCTTTAGACAAGACTCAGGCTTAGGATGGCTGTTAGAAAGCAACGCCGACACATGGGACCAGGCTTTCTCTTTAGGTCTTCTTTCCATGTGGTTCTGTTTTGTGATTGATTGGCAGCTTTGACAGGAGACACTGAATTCTGTCATAACCTACCGGTCACTAAAGGAGCTGACTGAACTACAGCCATTCTGATGCTCTGAAATGGTCTCAGTTTCTGTAAACCTTAGACAATATGTGCCTGTGTGTTTTTAATTCAGCAGGATGTGCGTTTCCATTCCAAGCACTTCACGGAAGAGCTGAGAAAAATTTTTATAGAGGACACTGACTCAGAGACGGAAGATTTTGAAGGATTTTCGCAGAGCGATCTGAATGTAAAGAGTGACCCAGAAATAATGGTAATAATTATTGACGGGAAGTGCTGTGGGTTGTAATATTTTTAGTCCTGTTGCTGAGTTATATTTTTATTTGTAAGAAGTCATTTCACAAATGAAAAGATTTTTTTTCTTACATATTTATCTTATAAGCAAATTAACATAATATAAAAATTGCTGCTCTTTAAGACTAATCCCTGGTCCACCAGCTCACTCTTCTCTTAGAAAAAAGCCACTTGTCTTCTCTTTGTGCCTTTGGAGGTCTCAGGGTGTGTCCTAGATGTCTCTTACTGTCCTTACCAGGGAATTTATTTCAGACCCTCTTGAACCTTCTGTTTTTTAAAATCTTTTCATTCTATCTTGGAGAAACAAGTTCCTTAAAGTTATTACTTGTTGTGTGTAAGTAATACTCTTAGTTTGAAGTTAATTTGGCAAAAATTTAGCTATGGTGCAAACTTTGCGTTTTCAGGAGGCGTTCTTTTTAAACATTTGATTGTGGTAGGATATGTATAACACAAAAGTTATCATTTTAACCGTTTTTACGTGTACAGTTTAGTGGCATTAATTACATTTACGATGTTGTGCAACCATCACCACTCTCTATTTCCGAGACTTTTTCATTACCCCAAACAGAAACTCTGTACCCATTAAGTAATAATTCCCCATTTCCCCCCCTCCAGTCCCTAGTAATCGCTAATCTACTTTCTGTCTCTATAAATTTGCCTAGTTTATATATTTCATGTAAGTGGAATCATACGATATTTGTTTTTTTGTGATTGGCTTATTTCACTCAGCATGATGTTTTCAAGGTTCATCCATGTCATAGCATGTGTATTAGAACTTCATTTCCCTTTATGACTTAATATTCCATTGTATGTCTATACCATATTTTGTTTATCATTCATCTACTGTTGGACACTTGGGTTGTGTCTACCTTTTGGCTATTGTGAATAATTCTGCTATGAACATTGGTGTACAAGTATCTGTTTGAGTCCCTGCTTTCATATATTTTGGGTATATACCTAGGAGTGGAATTGCTGGGTCATGTGGCAGGCAGTTCTATGCTTAACTTTTGAAGAACTGCCAAACCATTTTCCACAGCAGCTGCACCGTCTTACAATCCCACCAGCCGTACATGAGGGTTCCAGTTTCTCCACATCCTCGCCAGCACTCAGGGTGCATTCTTGATTTAGATGCTTCATGCTTTTTACTGTTAACAATCCTGGGCCAGCATGATTTCCTGAGGAAAATCTGCTCTCAGCACTTTGTCATTAGGAGACTTGTCAGTTCTCTTCCTGTATTCCATATGGTTAGGCCAGTTTAGTGTCCAGTAGTATGTGGACAAGGTAACTTTAAAGAACAGCCTTAGATTTTTGTAAGCGCAGACATATTTTGCACTAGCTGAAAAAACTTACCTTTATCCAAAAAATTACATACTACTTACTTCTTCCATATCGAGATAAAAGATAGAGTTTAAGCCTCTTCACACTGAGAAGTGCCTGAGCAACAGCTTTTGGCATGGAACCTGCATAAAAGTATAAATAAGCTGTGACTGCTCTTCGTTTTGCCCCCCATCTTTTCCTAGAGGAGAACTCGAGGCATGAAAGCCCTAATGGTAGGCTGCCTTGTTTGATGGTGATGCTTTCCATGAATAGAAATATCGAGCTGTGCCAGCCCTTGGCCCTGGGTCTCCTTTAGCTCCCTTTTCATAAGCTGTTTGTGGAACAGTTCACGTGTTCTGGCCAGCGAGTCCCCACTTTCTTGCCAGCAAGACACTAAGATCCTTCCAAACCGTAATGAGTACCATCTACTCTTAGTGACTTATTTATTTTCAGTTCTTTAGCTAAGTGATGTCTAGTTATTCAAAGAATTTGTGTTTCTGTGGGGGTAAGTAAATTCCCCCAAAAGTCTTTTTTTTTTCCTCAGAGTCTATAAATGTAGGATATGGATTGTGACATGTGTTGTGTTCACTATGATATAACTTACAGTTTAGGTTCCATGCTCACTTGCAAATATTACTTTAAAACTCAGAAACTGCATTGTTGCCTCTCATTCCAATTGCCTGCCCACCCTTGTGAGAACGAGTGGAGTATCTTTTCTGATAACGAGGCATTATTGTCACCTTGGTTGCCAGTGGGTTTTTGGACAGCTGTGAAACATAATCCCAGCAATAGTGCTGACCCTTGTGGTCATTGTGGAATCCCACCTTATCGGTGTTCTTGCTTAAAACCTGATGCTCTGAATGGGACCCACAGCTCTGTTGGTGGGCGTGACTGGTACAGGGTTCAGTAGTACATTGGCTTTCATTCATCAGCAAACTTCTTGAGCATTTAACGAAAGAGTTCAGAGGAAGCTAATAATAGGAAGGGGAAACTTGCAGTGATTAATTTTTTTCCCTAACATAATGTCAGAGTAGTTCTAAGTATATATGTGTCTTTTGAAGGTTTCTCACGGACGTCTTTGTTCTTTGTTAGCTCGTGGAATCAGATTTGAGTGATGACCGCAAAGCGTCTTTACTGAGTGAGGAAGATGAAGAAGAAGAAAAGGCTACACCTAGAAGAAGCAGGCCTAGAAGAAGCAGTATCGGTCTTCGAGTAGCCTTCCCGTTCCCCACCAAGAAATTGGCAAATGAATCAGATAAGAAAAACAGTTCCTCTGAGCCACTGCATTCTAGCTCATGCCTACAGGACAATAAAAAGACAGTTCTGGGGAGACAGAAGAGCTGCAGACAGTGGAAGCAGAGGGAAGATTCTGCCTCTGAGTCCGAGGATGACTCCAGGGACGAGGGCCAGGAGAGCTCGGATGCCTTGCTGAAAAGGACCATGAACATCAAGGAGAACAAAGCTATGGTGAGACTCCGTGCAGGCAGTGTAGAGGCCAGCGGTGGGCTCTGACCAGCACTTTGCTGAGGCTCACAAAGCTACTTTGCCCTTACAGCTGCTGTTGGTTTGGCTTCTGTCAGGAAACTGTGCTCTGGGTATTGTGTATTTTTTTCTCTTCCAGAACCTAAAGCAGTTATTACATGATCAGCTCTGGGTTGGGAACAGAAAGATTCCCCAAGACCATGTGTAGCCCCCCAGATGGTGCCACGAACTAATCCTGCTTATTTATCAGGTTAAGTTCTAAATATATAGTGGTATTGGGCATGAGAGGGGCTTAACGTTGGCCTGTTCCCAGCAGAAAGAAGCAAAGTGTAAATAAATAGGATGTCTCTAAGCCCATATAAGAGTCGTAAGGAGGCGTTGAAGCTAGAGGCTCCTCTCCTGTGATGAACAGCTGTAGTTTTGAGACATCACCTGAAGGAATGGAAGAGGTCTAGGAATAAAAACAACTCTGTAAACAGTTTTAATTCACTTTAATTTTAAAATGTCTTCATGAGAACAGTGAGCGGAACAAGGTGAAATCTGTGTTACATATGTTTGATTTTTCCATATGTGAGTAATAACTGTTAACCTGATTGTTGAGAATCATTATTTATTATTTTGTATATACGGCATTAAATAATTCCACCACTCAGATAACCACTTTTTGCATTTTGATGTATTTTTTTTTCCTTTAATGTTTTCTCTCTAAAAAAAAAAAAAGATAGTGTATATGCAAGCTTATATAGCTAATCATAAACCAAAAAAAAAACCCATTGCCGTCGAGTCAATTCCAACTTATAGCAACCCTATAGGACGGGATAGAACTGCATCACAGGGTTTCCAAGGAGCGGCTGGTGGATCCGAACTGCCGATCTTTTGATTAGCAGCCTGAGCTCTTAACCAGTGAGCCACCAGGGCGCCTATCTAATCATATGTGTGTATATGTATCTAATCTTGTATGTGTGTATATATATATGTATGTATCTTATATATCTAAAAATAATAATTTAAGAAAATTTAAAGCCTACTTTTGAATCATTTTTACCCTAATACATTTATACTTCACTAAGGGGAATTTTTAGCGTAGTGGTTAAGCGCTCAGCTGCTAACCAAAAGGTTGGCAGTTTGAATCCATCAGCAGCTCTTTAGAAACCCTATGGGGCAGTTCTACTCTGTCCTGTAGGGTCGCTGTGAGTTGGAATCGACTTGATGGCAACGTGTTTGGTTTTTTCTTTTTGGAAGGGAGATTTTTAGCACTGTACTGGTCCCTGCATCTTTAAAATAAGACTATGTTCTTTGTTATTTTTTCAGTGACACCATACATTTGTATAAATTGAAAACTAAAAAGAATCCTAATTAACAAATTCTCTGATTGGCATACTAATGCCTGTTCCTTGGTCAATAATTTCATATTAGATGTTTATTTGGGAATATTTTCATAAATTGTTTTTATTGACAAGAAATTAAAAGAATCTAATTTTGGGAGCTCTAAATAACCATCAGGATAATCTGGTTGAGCCGTTTCTTTTTTGGACGTGATGAAAGTGAGGTTCAGGTGAGGAGGGTCACACTGCTCATGAGTGGTCAAGTCAAGATTCAGACCTGGGGCTCCAGACCACTGCCATTGCAGGGTGGCTTTTACCATGTCATGCTGTCCTTACATTTAAGAGATGGGCATCAGTTTTATTAGTTTATATGATGACATCAGCATTGTGATGAAATTCTTTAAACGTGAGGTTAAAAGTATAACAGCTGTTGAGGGATTAGGTAAACTGCTTTATTCAGGTTTCTTGTGATAACGAAATTGACAAGGTGTGATAGGTGTTAGATAGACTAGATGTGGCAGTGTTTACATGAGATCCTTTCTTTTGTTCTGCACTTTAGCTTGCTCAGTTACTGGCGGAACTGAATTCTATGCCAGATCTCTTCCCAGTACGAACCCCAAACTCAGCTTTGGTAAGTGGAACTCCTTGCAATTCCATGTACCAATACCGACATGTAGTAATCCATCGCCAGATGGCTTTTTGTCAAGAACACACCTGGTGCACGTGTTTGTACTCTCGATTTCAGAAGAAGAAAACCGTGCGGCGGGCCTTCTCGGAGGGACAGATCCCACGGCGCACGAACCCCACCCGGAGCGCGAGGCCTCCAGAGAAGTTCGCCCTGGAGAACTTCACTGTCTCAGCCACCAAATATGCAGAAGAGTTTTACAGTTTCAGAAGAAGGAAGACAATTAGTGGGGTATTTACTGACTGTAATAAACTAGTTATTTTTTGTCTAAGCCAGGGGTCCTCAACCCTGACCATGCATCAGTCTCGCCCACAGGCTGATGAAAGCACAGTGTCTGACTCAGTTTCTGCTCAGACTGGGGCAGCTGAGAATGTGCATTTCTCCCAAGCCCCCAGGTGATGCTGGTCCTGGGACCACACTTTGAGAAGAACCACTGTTCGAAGCTGTAGGGCACAGAGTTAATCCTTATCTAAGCCAAGCTGAGGAACAGCTCAGTGGCCATGACCTGACTTGGTCTCTGGTAGAGGCCTGCTAACGGCTCCTTGGTTTTGCATGTAGGAACAGACAGTGGTTCCTCCTAGCCCCCTGTTTTAGGTATAGGACATTTCAAATGGTTTCAGTTGGTGGGAGAAACTTTGTACCCTTCCTATTTGTGGGTTTGGCTTTTTAGTGAGGTTTACTTGGTTTACTTCCCTGACCTTGCAGAGTTTAAAAGTCAACAAACCTGAGTTTCTTATTTATTGTTGTATGGCCTTGCCTAGAAGGAAGCTTGGCAGAAGCTTAGTAAATAACTACTCAGTGAACCACTCAGTGAATGAGGGGGAAATAGTAGATGGATATGGTTAACAGTGATGGTGCTAGAGCAGAGAGGGGTTAACATTTTAATAATATTCTCTTCAGCCATGCAAAGTATCTGATTCCAGGGACTGCTTCTGTTCATTTTGCAGGGGAAATGCCAGGGGTATAGACGACGTCGCCGTGTCTCTTCTTTTCGGCCAGTGGAGGACATCACTGAAGAGGACTTAGAAAACGTGGCCATAACTGTCCGAGATAAAATCTATGATAAAGTTCTGGTAAATTAACATACTATGATAATTTGCATGATATTTACTGAGAGTCGAGGCGTTGGTTTTTAGAGTCTTACGTTATTTTTAAACTGTGTCAGGACTTGTACCTTCATGCCATCTCCATGAGGGCCCAGAGGTAGGCTGTAAATTGGAGGACCAACAACTATAACTGGGAAACGGAGGACAGCTCAGTGCAGGGCTTCTCATCAGGAGAGATGTCTCTCTGGGGATGCATAGAATTTCAGGGGAGATGGGTATAGTTTAGAAAAGCGTATTAATGTAATGTTTATAGTCCATATAATTTATATATATATAGTTTTTAATTTCTTCTGGAAATTATTTCCATCTTTCCAAATAATGTGTTTATACCACCTGTGGCAGAGACAGCAATTTGCCTACCCAATATACATTTTCTTATAACCTGTCGCCATTGAGTCGACTCTGACTCATAGTGACCCTATAAGGACAGAATTTCCAAGGCTGTAACTTTACAGAAGCAGACTGCCACGTCTTTCTCCCTCGGAGACCTTTGGTTACTAGACGAGCGCTTTAACCGTTGCACCACCAGGACTCCTTTTCTTGTAAACACCACCCAAATGTGAATGGGGTTAAGTGTGTGTGCCCAGATTTAAAAACTACATTTCCCAGCATTCCTTGTACAGAAGGGTGGCCATGTAAGATGGACCGGACAATGAGATACAAGCAGGGGTTGCTGATGAGATTTCTGGGAACCTCCCTGCCTTACTGAGATGGCACTTTTTGCCCATTCACTTCCTTCTTTCCAGCCACTGCCGAAGTCCTGACTGCCTACCTCTGGAATGGTTGTTAAATGAAAGAAAAATAAAATCCTATCTTATGTAACCTGCTGTTAGTTTTTTCCTACATGCCTCTAAACTCATTGATATACCACTATTTCTTGATTTAGCAACTTTATCATCTCCCTTGGAGTCCCTGGGTGGTGCAAAGGGTTAACACACCCTGTTAATGATGAAAGGTTGGAGGTTTGAGTCCACCTAGAGGTGCCTCAGAAGAAAGGCCTGGCAGCCTACTTCCAAAAAATCAGCCATTGAAAACCCTATGGAGCACAGTTCTACTCTGACACACGTGGGGTTGCTATGAGTTGGGATCAATTTGATGGTAACTGGATTTTTAAAAAATCATGTCCCTGCTATGATAAATGAGAATTTGGCTCATCTACACTACTATACCTCCGAATAGAATTCTATCATCATTTTTGGTTTCTTTATGATTTTTAAATAACCACTCGCATCTTTGTTTTTTGATCAATCAACTACAGATAGTATCTCTCATCAGCCCTGTTATTCTTCTCTTCATGTCTCCTCCCTCTCCTGTACCTCTCAATTTCTGTCATTTAATTTATAATTTTTATATTTCCTTATTTTATATCCCCATGATTGATACCACATCCATTCTGTCTGAAAATTATTTCACTTTTACACTTGAATTCTAGTTTGGCTAGGTATAGAATTCTGGTTGCAGGGGTTTTTTGTTGTTGAGAAAATACACAGCACAACCAATCCAACCATTTCTACGTGTACCATTCAGTGACGCTTCAAATTGTGCAACCATTCTCATCCTCCCTTTCTGAGTTGTTCCTCCCCCATTTACATAAACTCATTGCTCCCTAAGGTTCCTATCTATTCTTCGGAGTTGCTGTTGTCAGTTTAATCCCATATAGATAGTTCTTAAAAGAGCATAATGCTCAAGGCAGATATTCGTTACTAGTTAATCTTGGACTATTGTTTGGTTTTAAGAAGACTTCAGGGGATATTTTTGGTTTGAGGTTTAAAAGATTATCTCAGGGTAATAATTTCAGGGGTTCATCCAGCCTCCATGGATCCAGAAAATCTGGATTCCATGAGAATTAGAAATTCTGTTCTGCATTTTCCCCCTTTTCATCAGATTCAAATATTCTATAGAATCTTTGATCAAAATGTTCACTAATGGTAGCTGGGCACCATCCAGTTCTTCTGGTCTCATGGCAAAGATGGCAGTTGTTAATGGAGGCAATTAGCCACACACTCCATATCCTCCTCCTATTCCTGACTCTCCTTCTTCCTCTGTTGCTCCAGGCAAATAGAGACAAATTGTCATGCCTTCGATGGCCGCTTGCAAGCTTTTAAGACCCCAGACACTGTGCAACAAACTAGGCAGTAGAGCAGAAACACTAGACACTATTAGGCCAGTTAACTGGGATGTCTCATGAAACTATGACCCTAAACTTCCAAGCCAAGGAACCAAATCCCATGAGGTTTTTGGCTTTACATAAGTAACCTCAGCAGCTACTCTTTTTTTTTTTTTTTGGTCTTGTAAATATATCTATCACACAACTTTTGATAATTTGAGAAGTTAAAATTTCAAATTGAAGCATTCGGTTGTTTTGATGGGATAATCTTTGCGTGGATGCAGCTTCCTTTTTTTTTTTTTTT